TCTATCCCAATGATATAATCATTAAAACTGAAAACAATAATATCTTGAATACCCCACCCAGAGAAACTGAAAAGTACCCAGAGAAGGATAGGACAATATTCTACGTAACAATATTCTAAAATGTAAAGCTACAGTGAACAAAAGGAAGTTATCTTTGATATATAAAAAATACAAATTTCTATCTCTTTGGGTTCAAGTTCTGGTACTTTATTACTCAGGACTTTGGATGTAACAATTATTTGGGTCTCAACTTCCCTCTCTTCGAAATAAGGAAAACACCACTTACCACACAGGAAGATGTCTGAAAAAAAAATAATTTGTATGAATGGGGCTTCAGTTCTTCCGAAGACAGTTATGAATCCTTAAGTATGAACCTTTTGAAAAGCTAATTAAAAATAAAATAACCTCATCAAAATTAAGTCTGAAATGCACTAACCTAGACGGTCTTTAAGATCATTCATTATTAGGTATCAATTCCATCCAAATAACAGAATTCATACTAAGGCTAGGCTAAAGTGTAAATGTACTTTAAATAATCAAACAAGAGATTTTATTAATCTTAATGTAACAAAAATAGGTTAAATAGGTTATTCATCATCATGTTAATTTGATATACCTAAAAATATTGATGTAAAATGATGACATTCTCTTGGTGTTTATCTTTCAAAAATATATTTGGACCTGGTTGCTCAAAATATGTACAACCACTAACAATAATAACCATATGGTATTGATAATGGAAGAGTTGAAACACATTCAAGTGAGTTATTTCTCTGATATATAAAATAATCTGAAACTAATTAAAGTTTTGAAGTCTAATAGTAAAGTGAATAAATAGTATTATCTAATATGTACTGAATACTATACACAAAAATCATGCTGAGTACCAGAAATGCAAAGAAGTGTTAAAACTTCATAGGCATGTCCTAACACTAGACTATAAACTATGGCCAAATAGTTAGGAGGACAAGAAATTACTAAATTAATCAGTATTGTATACAACTAGTTCTATAAGTATGAATTAGATAATACAGTGAAAAAGGAAAAAAGAAAAGGCATTCTGGAAAGATATCTTAACATTTTACAGTTTATAGCACCTCACATTTTATTATATAGTGGTCATCACATCTGACAGGAGGCTTATAGAAACCTTGGGAGGAAGGCAGGACTGATGTCTGGCCCTTATGTAGATGAGGAAAATGAAGCTTGACAGATCACAGGTGAGGAGGTGGCAGAGCAAGAGCCGGACCAGTCTGACAACTTTGTCCACAGCTCATTTTCACTGTTACATTTTAAGTCATCAATCCTAACGTCAGAACTAGAAAGCGCCTCAGAAATTTTCTCGTACAGTGTTTCTCTAACCGGTCTGATAAAAACTTTCCTGAAGCATGCATTTCTAGGCTCCACTGCAGACCTACTGAGTGATAACCTGTGAGAGAGAGGTTTATATTTTCACAAGATTTCCAACAAGTGATTCTGGTGATGAGCTTGGAAAACACTGTCCTCTATCTGTATGTGCAATGTGGCAGACATGTAGCTATTTAAATTTACACTTGATTAAATCAGTTTGAAAACTGGGTTCCTTGGTCCCACTAGTTACCTTTTTAAGAGCTCAAGAAAGACCTGTGGCTAGTGGCCACCATACAGCTGGCACAGATATAGGACAGTTTAATCACTGCAGAAAGTTCTATTGGATAATGTTAATTCTAGACCAACTAAGGATGAGAAAACTGAGGCACAGAATCTTGTCCAGCAAGGGCTATGAAGTTATTTAGAGGCAGAACTGAAATGCTAACCTAGTTTGCCAGTGCCCCTCATGCTCTATCACTTCATCCCCTCAAATTCAGGGTTTATTCAAATGCGAATTATTTTCTTTCCACCCTCCTTTGTGGGTGGCAGTAAAGAAAGAAGAGAAATTCTAAATTTGTGGGAAGAAAACTTCTAAAAAAAAAAAAAAGTAAAATTCATAATTAAATCAAACTATTTTGTAATTTTTATACAAAATTAAAAGTAGCCTTGGACAGGTAAGAATATCCTAGTGTTAGGAGTCATATCTTAGTCTAACTGTTAAGTCCTCCCTCTTCTACCACCCTGATGTTTTTCTCTCTTTTGAATCTGAAATTAAATCATACATTTTAACCGGCTTAACATTATAAATGTGAAAAAGTTAAATCTTCTTTAGCAAACATTCCATTTTAAAGATGAAAAATTGAGAAACAAAGGAACAACCAAAAAAACAGTGACCTCTAATTTTAGGATGTGGTCACTCAAACCACTGAGAATGCTTGGCTTTTAGTAATCTAGTAGTTTATTATTTATAAAACTAGTATGCTGTTTTCACTTCTAAGCTATAGTTTTACCTTCCTTTGACTACATTACATTTAAAACAATTTAAATTGTTTTAATTTCCAATGTAACTGAGGGTTTGAAGCCTCTGAACACCTATGGTTTATACACTAATTAAATCAACATATAATCAGTCATAAATATATATAGTAGTATCTTCTTTAAAAATAAAACCAGTTGTTCCTGTCTAGTATGTTTACCATGCAAATATCTCCAAAGTCAGTCAATGTAAGTCATGACAATTCATGTTTAAAGTGAATAGGAACTTGGGAACTCCACATTAATGGAAATTTTCAAGACAGAATTATACAGCTCCATTAACTTTTATCACTTATCTAGTATTCACTCCCTTGTTAACTTTTAGTGACTAAATTTAGTGAAAATATGTGTCAAAGTGTGTATAAAAAATTGTGTATAAAATTAAAAGTTGGACAGTTAAAAAACTGTCCTAACATAAGATACTTATGAACAGATCTTTACTCAAGACAGTTTTTGCCATAATTTGCAAAGCACCCAGAAGCCCAGAGTATGGTGTTCTATATAAATAGAAGTTACTTGTTATTCAGAGAAAGAGGTGGTACCAAAAAAGACAGCTATTTTCTTTCTAACCACTCATTGGTGTTGAGGTAAACAAAAAAAATACAGTGTAAGCGCATTAAAATACTTGGAGAGCAACAGTCTCCAAATTGTAAGAAAGGGAGAGAAAAAAATTTCTGTGCTCTAATATTTTAAAGAGGGGGCTGGGAGTTTAAAGCGAAATTTATTCTCTGGCTTTTATACTAGATTCATTGGTGGTGGTGTTCAGTTGCTAAGTCATGTGTCTGACTCTTTTGGGACCCCATGGGCTGTAGCCTGCCAGGCTCCTCTGTCCATGGTATTTCCCAAGCAAGAATACAGCAATGGGTTGCCATTTCCATTTTTAGGGATCTTCCCCACCCAGGGATTGAACTTACATCTCCTGCACTGGCAGGCAGATTCTTTACCACGGAGCCACCAGAGATGCCCACCAGATTCATCCTTTTACATTTTATCTGTTATGTCTTGACTACCACTTCACCACATTAGGAAGAGGAAAACGTGTGCCCCCAAGATTCCTGTGCCAATAAAACAACTTTTGGAAGCAGCACAGCTCATCAAATGAAGGAGAATATTAGAAAAATGCTAAGTGACTGTAGTAGAACTGAACTATCTCAACCACTAGTGCATACCAATGTAAGGAGCATGAAAAATATTGCAAGCGCTATGCAAACAAAACGCTATGCAATACTTTATAATTGCAAAAGTTTCAAATCTCATTAAAAATTGGGGGGGGAAAATAGAGAAAGTATTGTGAAGGAGGGGCCCTGAGAAGGAAGCCCGGCTTGAAAGAAAAACATAGTCCCAAAGGCGGGGGGAGGAGTGCAGTCCTTCTGATTATCCCTCTTCCAAGAGCAGCTTCCTACAGGCTTTGGTACTATCTCTAAGAGGCGATTTTAGGCATCCTTAGGAAACATCACTTAAGACATAGAGAAATGTGCTTTGGGATCCTGAAATTTATAACTTAAAAAAAAAAAAGAAAAAGCACCAATGAGAGAAAACAGCCATGAAAAAACAGCCTAGATGCTATTTTCCCAAGCTTCCCGCAGAGAAAGAGCATCCATTCTCAGACATATAAGCCAGCACATCTGAACTGACCTAGCCAAGTTTTCAGCCAGCCCTCACTATCTCGTAAGCCCTCCTTCCCCCACTTCCTGGCCGTTCTTTCCCGACACACAAAATATAGGCCAATGAGCAGTGGGGTGGGTGAGGAGGATGTGAGAGAAAATTTGAGAAGTAAAAGGGGAATCCACTTAACAAAGACATGAATGAGGCTGAAGAGTCTAATAAGGATAAGCAAACAACAATCACAACAACTGAACAGAAAGGGCTTTCCTGGGCAGCAGCGAGCGCTCAGTGTTTGGAGGGGTTTAGGCAGAGGCCAGGCTACCTACCACTTGTCAGGGAGGCTGCACAGGGGACGGCGGCTTTGGGTGACCTCTAATGTCTCTTCCGACTCTGAAATGTTAGGATTCTTATTTCACAAGAGAGAATACAATGGTCATAAAAGCCCACCAACTTAGAACCCTTTTAAAAGGCGACTACTTCCCAAACACCACTCCCACCTCTCCCTCCCACACGTGCCCACTCCGCCCCTTTTCAATTTTTCCACCTCCACGTGCGAAACGCCTCGCGGCGCCTGCCCCACAGCCTTGAGGCGCCTTCCCACGCAAAGCACCCAAACTCTGCCCCGCGGGAGACGCGAGGAGTCCTCTCTCCGACCCTGGGCGGCCAAAAAAGGAAGTCTCAAATCCAGTCTTTCTGCCCCAGCCAGAGCTAAGGGGGGTGGGGTGGGGTGGAATGAAGAGAAGAACTTTTCTTCTAAAATGTGTTTTCCAGATAGTGAAGGGGATAGAGAGAACCCTGAAGAGTCCAGGGCTGAAGGGAGTGGGGGGAGGGGACACCCCCCAATCGTCTAACGGCCGGCAGGGGGAGGGGGGCTCCGGAGGCGGAGGGGGCGTGGGATGAGAAGCAGGCCTGGGAGCGGGGTCAGGGGGCTGCACGGGTCCCTGGGGTCAGGGAGCTGCGGGCGTCCCCCCCACCTGGCACACAAAGCAGCTGCCGCGCTCGGCTCTCACCAGATCCTTTGTGTTTTCCATCAGGGCCTCATGGGTAGGGGCTGTCCGCGCTCCCCGGGCCCGCGGCGCCCCCTCCCGAGCTGGGGGCAGGCGCCTCTCCCCGGGACTACGGCGACTACAGGGGAGCCCCGGCTGGGCCCAGACTGGTGGCGGCTACGGCAACCCCCGGATTTCCCCCCTTTAACTCGGGTGGCCCCAGGATATCAACAACATTAGCATAGCCCTCCCTCCCCAACGCGCCTGCGCCGTGACCCGCGCCCCGATTGGCCCGCTTCCCTACATACCCTCCTCTCTGTCTTCCAGCGTGGGACCCTCTGCAGGCTCCGTACTCCAAGGGTCGTACCAAGACGAAGGGGTGGAAAAGGCGATTGGGGCGCGTGTAAGTCGAGTGGTTAAAAAGGCAGGAGAAAGAGTAAAAGTTTCAGCCTGTCATCTCTGTCTTTCTTTCTATCCTTTCAATCAGTTACAGCTGCGAAGTTATGTTGGAAAAAAATTTTCCACTCCAGTCACGCCGCTTCCCCCTCCACCCGGAAGATTGGTCCTCCCGGAGGAACTCCCACACGGGGAGGGGCTCGTGAGGGGAGTGGGCGTTACACAAGAACACAGTGTTGGTCACGTGCTCAAAGGCGGTGCAACCTTCTTCCGGCCACCTGCGGCCTCAGCTCATGCGCAGTGAGGTTCCACGTGAGCGCCTGCTTTTCTTCTCAAACCCAAAGATGCCGCCAGAAAGAAGGCGCCGAGTGAGACAGGACCGTAAGACCCAAGCGAGGCCAGATGGGAGAGCCGGAGCGCGATGGGGCAGGCCGCCCCGAAAAGCTGCCCCCTCATGCCAGCGAAAGTCGCTGGCCTGGCCGCGCGCGGCGGCCGCTGCAATCTCAGTTGCCTCGGAGGAGGAGAAACGGCTCCGACTGCGGAACCGTCTGACGCTAGAGGAGGACAAGCCGGCAGTAGAGCGGTGCCTGGAGGAGCTGGTCTTCGGCGACGTGGAGGACGACGAAGACGCGCTGCTGCGGCGTCTGCGGGGCCCGCGGGTGAGGGACGCCGCCTCGCGCGGCTTGGGCCCGGGATGGGCTGCGAGCCCCCGGGGGCGGAGCCTGGGCGCTGGGGAGAGGAGCCTGCGGTTCCTGGAAGCGCTCAGGTGGTAGGGAGCCGGGAACACGGGCGCCTTGGGGTGCCAACCTTAAAGTCCTGGGAGGGCGGAGACCGCGTCTTTCTTCGCCCGCTTGAGTGCCGCTGCGCCAGGTATCCAGTAGGCGCTCAATACATACTTGTTTGCGTGCGCGCGTTTACAGTCGCTTCAGTCCTTTCCGACTCTGCGGCACTGTGGATTGTAGCCCACCAGGCTCCTCTGTCCATGGGATTCTCTAGGCACGATTATTGGAGTGGATTGTCGTGCCTTCTCCCGGGGATCTTCCTGATCCAGGGATCGAACTCGCGTCTTTTAAGTCTCCTGCATTGGCAGGCGGGTTCTTTACTACTAGAGCCACCTGGGAAGCCCGCATACTAGTTTAGACTGATTTAATCGTGAGCATCTTCCGTGGCTCATCCCCACTATCTTCTCCCCCTTAGTCGTTGCATCACCTGCCTCAGTACTATGCAATGATTCAGGAGTTCCGCGTCGTTTGCGAAATCAGAATTCCTGGGCACAGGACTGGCAGTCTGTTTGTGGAATTAGAATTCCTGCACACAGGCCTGGGAGTCTGTCTGATGTTTTAACAATCATACCAAGTGATTGACTGGCCAACCTTTGTATTCGTCTTTTAAATATTTGTGAGCCAATTTGGCGGCACATTCTTTTCCTGGTGGTGAAAACCCTGCATGATTCAGTTCGGTTCAGTCGCTCAGTCGTGTCCGACTCTACGACCCCATGAACCGCAGCACGCCAGGCCTTCGTGTCCACCACCAACTGCCGGAGTATAACCAAACCCATGTCTGTTGAGTCGGTGATGTCATCCAACCATCTCATTCTCTGCCTCCCGTTCTTCTCCTGCCCTCAGTCTTTCCCAACATCAGGGTCTTTTCCAATGAGTAAGCTCTTCACATCAGGTGGCCAAAGTACTGGAGCTTCACCTTCAACATCAGTCCTTGCAATGAACACCCAGGACTGATCTCCTTTAGGATGGACTGATTGGATCTCCTTGCAAATCCAAGGAATTCTCGAGTCTTTTCCAACACCACAGTTCAAAAGCATGGATTCTTCGGCACTCAGCTTTCTTTATAGTCTTAACTCTGACATCCATACATGACTACTGGAAAAACCATAACCTTGACTAGATGGACCTTTGTTGACAAAGTAATGTCTCTGCTTTTTAATATGCTGTCTAGGTTGGTCATAACTTTCCTTCCAAGGAGTAAGCGTCTTTTATTTATTTTTTTTTCTTTTTTTTAAAAATTAATTAATTTATTTATTTATTTTCATTTATTTTTATTAGTTGGAGGCTAATTACTTTACATTATTGCAGTGGGTTTTGTCATACATTGAAATGAATTAGCCATGGATTTACATGTATTCCCCATCCCGGTCCCCCCTCCCACTTCCCTCTCCACCCGATCCCTCTGGGTCTTCCCAGTGCACCAGGCCCGAGCACTTGTCTCATGCACCCAACCTGGGCTGGTGATCTGTTTCACCCTAGATAATATACGTGTTTCGATGCTGTTCTCTTGAAACATCCCACCCTCGCCTCCCAGAGTCCACAAGTCTGTTCTATACATCGGAGTCTCTTTTTCTGTTTTGCATATAGGGTTATCGTTACCATCTTTCTAAATTCCATATATATGTGTTAGTATACTGTAATGGTCTTTATCTTTCTGGCTTACTTCGCTCTGTATAATGGGCTCCAGTTTCATCCATCTCATTAGAACTGATTCAAATGAATTCTTTTTAATGGCTGAGTAATATTCCATGGTGTATATGTACCACAGCTTCCTCATCCATTGGTCTGCTGATGGGCATCTAGGTTGCTTCCATGTCCTGGCTATTATAAACAGTGCTGCGATGAACATTGGGGTACACGTGTGTCTTTCAGATCTGGTTTCCTCGGTGTGTATGCCCAGAAGTGGGATTGCTGGGTCATATGGCAGTTCTATTTCCAGCTTTTTAAGAAATCTCCACACTGTTTTCCATAGTGGCTGTACTAATTTGCATTCCCACCAACAGTGTAAGAGGGTTCCCTTTTCTCCACACCCTCTCCAGCATTTATTGCTTGTAGACTTTTGGATAGCAGCCATCCTGACTGGTGTGTAATGGTACCTCATTGTGGTTTTGATTTGCATTTCTCTGATAATGAGTGATGTTGAGCATCTTTTCATGTGTTTGTTAGCCATCTGTATGTCTTCCTTGGAGAAATGTCTGTTCAGTTCTTTGGCCCATTTTTTGATTGGGTCATTTATTTTTCTGGAGTTGAGCTGGAGGAGTTGCTTGTATATTTTTGAGATTAATCCTTTGTCTGTTGCTTCGTTTGCTATTATTTTCTCCCAATCTGAGGGCTGTCTTTTCACCTTAGTAAGCGTCTTTTAATTTCATGGCTGCGATCACCATCTGCAGTGATTTTGGAGCCCCCAAAAATGAAGTCAGCCACTCTTTCCACTGTTTACCCATCTATTTGCCATGAAGTGATGGGACCAGATGCCATGATCTTAGTCTTCTGAATGTTGAGCTTTTAGCCAACTTTTTCACTCTCCTCTTTCACTTTCATCAAGAGGCTCTTTAGTTCTTCTTCACTCTCTGCCATAAGGGTGGTGTCATCTTCGTATCTGAGGTTATTGATATTTCTCCCGGCAGTCTTGATTCCAGCTTGTGCTTCCTTTAGCCCAGCGTTTCTCATGATGTACTCTGCATATAAGTTAAAAAAGCAGGATTGATTGATTATATTTTTTTTGCATGCTTTTTATAAAAGAATCCTTTTTCTGGTTTATCTTCCAAGATAGGAAGTCCTAGGCAATTTCTAGGCACTGGAAGAGAAACAGCAATGGACAAAAACTGGCAAACATCCCTGCCTTTTTGGAGTTAGATACTAGTGGCAGAGGCAGAAGATAAAACTCAACTATGTCAGTGAAATGCTGAAGAAAAGAAAAAACATTCAAGAAAGGAAGATAAATTTGTGTAGAGGGAGTCTATAAAATAATACATAGGGTAGTGAAGCAAAGCCTTCCTGAATTATTCAGTTTGATAAAGGAACACAGACCTAGCAAGTATCAGTTGATTGTCAGAACCTCCTTTGGGTGCTTATGGGAGAGGTTGCAGAATCTAGCTGGGAGATAAGAGAAATACTACTGGAAAAATGCTGAACTATGTGATAGTTTCCCACTCAGGAAAAGAAACTGTGAAGTTGGATTTGTTGGGCTTTGAAGGATCATAGGCTAGTAATAGAGCAGGTATAAATCATTTGAATATTCCTATCATGTGGTTTTGGGAAAGTTCAAGCTCACTTCAGGGGAAATTCTGTGGTCTAGATTTAGATTTGATTGTATAGTATAAAGTTTTTTAAGTAGGTAGGGGATCAAGAACAGTTAAGAAAAATAGAGAACTGTGTCTAAGAATATGAAATATGGTTTAGTCATGACGTTCAATCATATTTTATCTTTGGTGTCAGTCTGCCTTTGATTCTGTGATCTGTGTAGTTCTGTGGTTTTCCCTACTCCTTTATCTAACTTACCTTTTACTCTTGTCTTTTTTGGTCTTCTCAGCAAGTTGACTTTTTCTCCTAGACTGTTCTATCTTACCTTACCTGTCCAGTGGGTGGTGCATTTCTCTAATCTGGTTTTCTGTTCTGCCTCCAACATTTGCTGTGGTAGCATTCTCTCCCATAATTTGATCAGAGGGCCATAGAAACAAAGCATTCTACAAACAATGTAACTACAAAGGCTGCCATCGTGAGATATGAAAGACTCAGTGCTTGTGGGTATTTTGTCTTCTGTAGGTTGAAGTTCAGGAAGACTCAGATGACTCAGAAGTGGAGAAGGAAGCAAAAGATAATTTTCTGCCTCGAAAGAAACCAGTTTGGCTGGATGAAGAAGATGAA